TGATCCCCGCGATGCAAGTGACCACGGAGGCCGACGTGAGCATAGAAAGGGCATCTTGCGACGTGATTCGAGTCTCCGATCTCGGAATGGATTCGTGGCACGGGGTCGACGCCGTCCGGTTCACCGAGGCGCGAAACGGGATGGCGCGGCCCGGGGAGGGCTCTATCTAAATGGGAGAGTTGGTCAATTGTGAAGAGAGACGGTTGATGACCTAGAAACTGGGATTCAGTGGGTCACTCGCCCCGTGCACTTCTTCCGCCTCCTCTGCCTGGCGCATCTCCTCTCCTCGGTTTCCTCCGTCGTCATTCCCCCTAATCTTTCGGTGCCTCTCGTGTGTGTCGGTGTCTCCGTCGCCGAGTAGTGCTTTCGAGCCGGGTGTGTGGGGGTGTGGGGGTGTGGGGGTGTGGGGGGAGCACGTGGTGATCTGGAGTTCTTTCGTGCGGGGATCGCGTGACGATTGCTCGTCCGAGCCGTTCGGAACGAAAAGAAACGGTTTTCATTGGGAGATCCTGAGGAAGTCATTCTTCCTTGGATTAGCGGGGGATCGACCACTCATCGATTAGAGACGGTAGTCCTTTCTGTTTCCGAATGACGACTGTGCCAGTCCGGCATGGTTCTCGGTCGCTCGCATCAGAATATCGAGCCGTGTCCATGGGAAATTTCTAGGCTGCGCCTATAAAAACAAAAAAAAAACAAACGAAAGGACTAAGGGCCTCTCAGTTCCTCAGGCTGGCATGGAGCGGTCTATGCATTTTCCCCTATACAAGTCTGACGTATCGACGAAACTGCTTCAAGGACTTTCGTTTTGATGACAAACCGGATCCATAGATCGGGGCATCCGGGCGGTCGAAGTGAATCGCTGGAGCATCTGAGCGGCGGCAACATGGGCAGCCGCGGGAATTCCGCCTACCTCCGGCGTCCTTCCTCCCGGAAACTCAATTCGGAGAGCCTCAACGACCTATTGGATCTGGAGGCCGAGTTCCGGAGCCTCACCTCCGCCTGCTCGCTCAGGTAAAGGACGGGAAAACCTCTCGAGAAACGCGAAGGATCGTGACGCTCTTCTCTCTCCAGGGAGGAAGACTTGCTCGACGGAAAGCGGCGGGAGAACTCCGCTCGGTACGGCCGCCGCGCCGTCTCCGCCACGCCCTCCACCACCCCCTCCGCCTCCACCCCCCGCGACGACCCCCTGGAAGACGAGTTCCTCAGGGGACAGACCAAGACGACCAAGCCCGCTGCGAGGGAGGCGAAGCGTGGGAGCCAGACCTCCCTCGAGGAGTCGTGGATCTCTCTCAGCGCCTTCAATCAGCTCCAGCGCGGTCGCATCTCCATCGACATGAGAGGTTCTCCCTCGTCTTCCTCGTCGCGTTTTCTTTCACGGCTTACTGTGAAATAATATTAATGTGACTGACGTTAAAATTGATGTTCGGTCTAATATTACGATCGACATTATGATCTATGTTAATATTGATATTAAGGTCAACGTTTAGATTGATGTTAAGATCAAACTTAATATTGATTTTCAGATCGATGCTAAAATCAATGCTGAGATCAACGTTATGCAATGTTATCAGTGTTTATAAATTTAAAGATCAAGTTAGAGCTCAAAGGGGTTTTGTGCCAAAGCCATGCAATGTGTAATCGGGATGTTCAAACTTCATCAGCCAACGCGAGGTCAGTGTTCACGTTTCATCGCTGCTTAACGGATAGGGTCGTGAAGGATCCTGTGATTATCTCCCAAGATACGGTAGAAAATGTGAAATCCTTTAGCCGTAGTGATACGATGCATCCATTAGCAAGGAAGGCAATAAAATGGGCAAAATGGCCAAAGTTCAGATGCATAGATGCATGATAGATGCACATATTTCCGTCGCCCTCAGACGACGTCCTGGACCTTTACCTGAGCGAGGGAACGACGGAGGCGCGTGACTCGGCCGAGGGGTTCGTGATCCCCGAGCTACCCAAGGGGGTTCACCTCACGGTGGACATCAAGAGCACCTGGGGAGACAGGCACTACGTGGGGCTCAACGGGATCGAGGTCTTCGGGGAGACGGGGGAGCCCCTAAGAGCCGACAAGGTAGCCGTCGCTGTCTTAGCACTGTCAGGGTCCCTTTGGTTATCTTTGGTTATCTCTTCGCTCCGAAAGAGTCTCTTCAAAATATTTTTCCTAATTGCTAATTAACTTAGTCTAATTACTTGCCTTCGTGAGAATACACCGAGTATCGGACTTTTCAAGTTCACGGCGCAGCCCACACAAACGGCCAAATTTTTGCATCAGGGCCCATCGAACCCAAAACGGTAGCCAAAGGGTTAAAAAA